TATAATCTTATTTACCTACATCAGCTTTTCGGAAGAATGCCGTACCTGGTAAGTAATTGCACTTTTAAAACCCTTGTTAGCCTGCCTATTGAGTATCTAGTAGATTAGATAGTGACGAACTAGTCAGCTGATTTCCGTTTTCATTCTCAGTACACGTCGAAAGAGATAGCAATTGTTTTCATTGACTAAGCGACGCATCGCGCGTAATTTGTGAACGACATTATGCAGAATGTAGTCAATGTTTACTTAATTACTTTATGTAATTAACTGGTCCGGGGTACGAAATTTCTTCACAATTGTAATCTGTAAACATAACACTACCTCCCATTAAAGCCGTGGCAGATAATTATAGAGCACCTTATATGTGACTATATTTAGGTAGATGACTAATATTTATTTTCATGTCCGTCTGGTAGATTATTTTAAAATATTAAACACGTATTTTTTATTATCTTACAGAAACGAATACTTTCGACGATATATTGATTTAAAATGTCGCGTGACGTCACTTCTATGTACATTTTATTTAAGTACGTTTTATTTAAGTATTGTTTTCTTATACAACAAAATAAAAATACGTGTCTAATATTTTTTCATTACCTAGTTGACGGACTAATTAGATTTTTAATTTTCATACCCTGTCATCATCCCTATTATAATAATTATGTATTAATACAATGCGTTCGTCAAGTGGTCACAAGCGCAACTGCGCAGCAAGAGGTATCTAGAGTTCGATTCCAGAGGGCTGTCAACGAGACCGCGTTCAGCGTTCCAATTGGTTGGTTCATTAGAGCCGGCTAATCAAAGCGCCGAACCCGGTCTCGTTTCGATTTTTTTTATTTTTTTAAGGGGGAAAATCATCGAATGGCTACTCAGGGAGGGAGTGGAGTTGAGCAGAGCGTGTGAAACTGCGCGGAAGTAGCTAGTGTAGATAATATTTTTATAATGATACATGACTCACTCAAGTGCTTCGTCCGTACTCTCGCCGTTGCTATCGTGTACTTCTTCTTGCACTGACGTCTCCCTCCGACTGAAACACATAAATACAATCAGCCAAGTCATAAATTAACATAACATCACTCTAGCCTTTTATCCCCAAAGGGCTAGGCAGAGGTGTACATTATACCACTAAAATGTAACACCCACTTTTCACTATTTATGTTATGAGTCCCATATAGTAGAGGGTGAGTCTATTGCCATATACCGGGCACAATTCCAGACTCCGTGCTACTACTGATAATTTTTAGACAAACCAAGTAATACTTTGCCCGATCGTGAATCGAACCTGAGCCCCCTTGCCCGGCAGCCCCACTTGCGACCACTCGGTCAACGAAGCAGTCATTTAATATGCAAGTAAGGAAACAAAGATTGGTTCAGTACAGAGACAGTCGCCATTGGTTGTCTAGAGCCGACCAATGGTTACAAAAGATATGGCTTCGTTACAACTTGCCAACTAATATTACAAAATGCGAAAGTTTGCATCTTTATTTGATTTTAGGTTATTTCTTCACGTCAACTGCGTCGTTGGCAGAGTGGTCGCAAGTGGGACTGCCGGGCAAGGGGTCTCGGGTTCGTAGGGGTCGAGCAAAGTACTAAAGGGTTTTAAAAAAAAATCTTAGTAGTAGGACGGAGTCTGGTAATGTGCCCGGTGTATGGCAATAAGCTCACCCCTATAACATGGGACTCGATAACATAAACAGTGAAAAGTGGGTGTTACATTGTACAGTGGCAGTGCCGTAATGTGCACCTTTTTAACACCTTCGGGGATAGAACGTGTGATGTTATATTATGTCCTTCACGTCAAAACGGCTGAAGAGATCGAGATGAAATTTTGAACAGAGGTAGATTATGGTCTGGAATACCATATAGGTTACTTTTTATCCCATGGAATGCGGGTGAAGCCGCGGGCAGAAGCTAGCAGGTAAGTAAATATACAGCTGGGAGCAAAGAAATCAAACCACTACCGTTTCTCTTTTTACATTTCTTGTTAAATATTTTCTGATATAAATATTTTATTAATTGGTAACGTATGTCGTATATAAGGCAAATTAGTGCATACATACATACATAACTTCACGCCTGTCTCCCATGGAGGTAGGCAGAGACTAAGGAACGCCATTTACTACGATTCTTACATACCTCTTTCGCTTCATCAACAGTCATCAATCTTTTCATGCATGCTCGTCGGTTAAGGGTACTTTTAATTTGGCCCTTCTTTAATATATCGCCAATCTGGTCATTATATGTCCGTCTAGGGCGCCCTCTACCGACAGCCCCATTTATTTCCGCTCTGTATACTTCTTTCGTTACTCTAGTTTCATCTATCCTTTCTACATGTCCAAACCAGCGTAACATTCCCTTTTCAATCCTTGTCACTACATCATCTTTCAATCCACACTTTTCTCTAATAACACAATTTTTCACTCGATCACTCAATTACCTTTAAAATGAGGGCATTGTGTTGTAAAAGTAATATTTGTTTTAAAGTTATAGAGGGCTTCATCTCTTTACTCCCAAGTGTAGTACATATAACTCACGCTGTTGTCTCGTCGATGGAGTTCCCTCCGCCGCAGTCCACTTCCATAGCCGATGGTCTACAACAAAATAAACAACTTCAATTTTTGTTTTGTCCAATCAGGGCAGCTGTCGGACTTGAAATATATTTTTAATATTTAAGAATTTTCTGAATAAGTAGATTTAGTTCTATGCATTATTTTCTTTTAACTACTGAATTTTTGAATATTGAGCGTCTAATAGCTTGACACTATCTTATTCCTCATAGGACGAAGAATGTTTGGAACGTTTTAAACAACGCTTGTTTTGTGTTTCGTCGTGTGAGTGAGTTTATCGGAGACCCAATTGCCCCTCTCTAATCTCCCCAATCCCCGAATCTCCAACAACCCTCAAATTCCTAATCCCCAAAAGGCTGGTAACGCTCTTGCGTTCCGGGTGTCTATGGGCGGCGCCAATTGCTTACCATCAGGTGACCCGTCTGATCATTAACTGGCCTATCCTATAAAACTAAGTGTAACTCACTCTGTAACTGTTTGTACTGAGACTCCGGCACTTCCACTGTCCGTTTCCGCTCCCCGAACTTTAGGGGGTTGCTCGTCATCCGTGGATTCATTGCTGAAACAAAAATCCACATAACATAACATAATGTCTTTTTATCGTAATGTGCACCTGTAGGCAGTGGTACACATTACGACACCTAATTCCACTGTACAATGTAACACCTCCTTGTCACTATTTTTTTTTATGGCATAAGCCGGTAAACGAACAGACGTATCACCTGATGGTAAGCAATCGGCGCCGCGCATGGACACCTGGACCACCAAGGGCGTTACAAGTCCGTTACCGGCTTTTTGGGGATTAAGAGTTTGAGAATCGTTGGGTATTGGAGATTGGGGAAGAGGAGGGTAATTAGGCCTCCGGTAACCTCACTCACACGACGAAACACAAAGCAAGCGTTGCTTCACGTCGGTCTTCTGCTCGGTCGTTGTACCACTCCGGTGGAGCCGGCCCATTCGTGCCGAAGCATGGCCCTCCCACACTATTTATGTTATGAGTCTTATATCTTTTAGTTATATCTGTCTGGACCTGGACTTTAAAAGAGACTATCAGTGATGGTCAGTGCTTTGTAGCAACTGGTCGTGCATAATAACAACAACGTATTTTTTGCGTGATTCATTTGCTTATCAGTAAAGTGAGTGCGGTATTGAGCCGATCGGCTCGGCCCGTGCAACCGGTTTGGGCGAGCGCCCGCGCGATACGATGAATGAATATGCATCAAGTGCAGATAATATAAGTGATTCAGATTTATTAAATAAATGTGAACAACAATTAAAGGAGTTAGGGGAGGACATGGGAATTTTTGAGAGTGGAAAAAGTACAATGGGAGAAATTAGATTGGCAGAAAAAAGGAAGGAACGAGAAGATGATTTTATTACTGTAAATAGGCGGTCTAAACATTTCGTGAGGAGTGATTCATTGGAGATAAGAGAGATAACACACAGAGAAAGTGATGAGGTTACAGATATATCTAATAATGAAGTTTGTATTACATCTTTAGAAAATCTACCTAAACCGATAGCTATGGCAAAATTACTTCGCTCGGAAAACATTAAAAATATCCTGAAAGTAAAATACAAAGGTTATAATAAAGTGTTGATCCTTTGCCAGCGAAAAGAAGATGCAAGAAAACTATTGAATTGCGAAAAATTAAAAGATATGGGACTACGCTGTCAACTAACACAAGATATGTCTGTCTCATACGCAGTAGTGAAAGGAATTGATTTAGAACTAAGCGAAGAGGAACTTATGAGTATTTTCAACTCAAACGTAGAAATATTATCAGTAAAAAGATTGAAGCGCTTGAATATAGAAGGCAAGTGGGTGGACTGCGAATCCGTTAGGATTTGTTTTAAAAGTCAGAGATTACCGGAATACATATACGCATATGACTGTCGATTCGCAGTTGAGGCTTACGTTTTTCCAGTAACACAATGTTCAGGTTGCTGGCAGTTTGGTCACATCGTGAAATACTGTCCGTCTAAAACTATACTTTGCCCAAAATGCGGAGGAAAACACGAAAACTGTGAGACTAAAGATTTCAAGTGTTTGAATTGTAAGGGTAATCATTTTGTATTAGATAAAACGTGCCCTGCATTCGTTAAAGAAAAAACTATAAGGAAAATCATGAGTGAAGAGCAAATAACGTACAGAAGAGCTTTACAACGTTATCTGGAAAAAAAAGAAAAAAACAGAACAGAGATCCCTCATGGAGAAACTGACTCATATATGACAAACAGCGTTGAATTTTCTGGTAAAGAAACCTATAGTGCAGTACTGAAAAAAACTAGGCATCAAGAACCAATACAGATACAGGAAGAAATCCAAGAATCAGATGAAAGTACTCCAGACAAAGTCACTAGGTTTAGACGGAAGACTACAAAGAAAACAAAAAGAATAAATCAAAGAAGATCTGAACTACCAACGGAGCAATTAGTAGAAGTTATGGACGAGGAGAAACATGCATCACAGAAAGAAGAAGACAAAACCACGAAAAAGGAAAAACAACATAAATTACATTTTGAATGGAAAAAGATGTGGCTGAAATTAAAATCTGTATGTATGTCTGAGCGTAATTTTGAAGAAAAGCTGTTACAAATGTTGAAAATTATTGGTGAGGAAATTAAATTTTTTTTAGTCAATATTCTATTTGGAGAAGATGTAGCTGGTTTTTTAAATTATTTAAACAATGGATAGTCGACAAAAAAAAGCAAAGATGAACATTTATCAATGGAATTCACAAAGTTTTCGTCCTAAACTCGTACCATTTTCTGAACTTTTAATACGGGAAAGTATACATATTGCAATTTTAAGTGAAACATGGTTTGATTGCGAAATGGATATAAATATTAATGGCTATAATATATACAGAAAAGATAGAGATGACGGTTATGGTGGCGTAGCTGTACTAGTACATAAATCTATCCAATCTCATCTAGTCCCTTTACATGTTGGTAATGTCGGTATTGAAGGTGTATGTGTCAGGTTAGTGAATTGCAAAGACATAGAACATGTAGTATCACTTTACTGCCCTTCATCTGTTCGTACACAATTATCGGAGTGGGAAGGTATTTTCTCTCAATTTTCCAATAAAACAATTATAGCTGGTGACTTCAACGCTCATCATTCCAATTGGTCAAGCAAATCAGATGCACGAGGATCACAAATAATGGATGCGGTTATAGATAATAATTTCATACCCTTAAACAATGGCTTGGCAACACGTGTCAAATTAGTCAATGGAAATTTACAACAAACTTCTCCAGATGTAACATTTGTAACTACTGACGTTGCAATAAAATTTAACTGGCAGGTTCTCAGCGAAAATTTAGGTAGTGATCACCTTATTATTAAATTTTCTGCTCATTTATCTTCATTTGTTCACATTATAAAAAAATGGAATTTCAAAAATGCTAACTGGCCCAAATTTCAACAGACAATATCTGAAAAAATTGATGAATTTAGTGAAACCTCAGATGATAGCAATGTCCAACAGATGTATAATTTTTTATTTAACTTAATCGAATATTCTGCAAAAAAACATATTCCGCGAATTAAGTTTAATATTGAACCGGACGAAAAATTTAAACCAAAAAACTACTGGACACCAAAATTGTCAGAGTTAGTTGCTCAACGAAGATTAGCCTTAAAAGAATTTCGTAAAAATCCGACCCCTGAAAATATGAGCAAATTAGAAACAAAAACTGTAGAATCTCAATCACTAATTAAAAAGGCAAAGGCAAAAGGGTGGCAAGATTTCTGTGATTCAATCGATGAAGTTACGTCGGCCTCCGAAATGTGGCGCCGCATGAGATGGGTGAAAGGTTGTAAACAACAAAAGTCATGTCCTTCAATAAATAAACAAATAGACCTCTTACGATCGTTAACCCCTGATTACGCACCGAGTCCTATGCCTTCCTTTAAATCTAGAAATGATATGTTAGAAGCTGAATTTTCTATGCAAGAATTGAAAAAATGCCTGAAAAAAAAAGATTCAGCCCCCGGACAGGACGGGATATCTTATTCAATGCTATATAACCTACCGGAAGCGGGAAAGGTATTTTTACTTAAGTTATATAATTATATATTTAAATTTGGTATCGTCCCCCAGCAATGGCGTAACATTCAAATAATCCCTATACCTAAAAATGGAAATGACTGTAATGCAAAGTTAAGACCCATTTCGTTGATGTCGTGCATTTGCAAAATCTTTCATTTATTAATGTGTAAACGAATAGAATGGTTTGTAGAAAAAAACAAGATTTTATCATCGCATACTGTAGGATTTCGGGGGGGGGAATCATCGAATGTCTGCTCCCGCCTGGGTGAGGCGGAATTCAGAGAGTGGGGAAGGGGAGGAGGGCCCCTTCCCCACTCTCTGAATTCCCAACGATCTTTAAACTCCTAATCCCCAAAAGGCCGGTAACGCGTTACACTTGTACGCCTCTGGTGTTCCAGGTGTCCATGGGCGACGCCGATTGCTTACCATCAGGTGATCCGTCTGCTCGTTTATCGGCTTATGCCATAAAAAAAATAAACTAACTACAGGAATTCCGTTTATTTTAATAATTATGTAATTAGTATACGTACTAATTACAAGTCACCCTATATAGTAATATAAATATGTACCTGAAACTGAAAGTGCGTACGTGCATCCCTTGTTTCCGTTTTTTCTTCGGCTTGTTTGTTTTATCCAATGTCTTCTTCGTAGGCTGTTTGTCAAGTAAATCTTTGTATTTGTCCAATGTTTGCTGCATGTCAAGTTCAGAGACACCCGTGGCCTGCGCGGCGCGGCCCGAGACCTGCTCCAGTGCCACCAACACCTGCTCCGCTGTCATCAACTTTAAAATCTCCAACTCGTCACGCAAATACTTGTACACACGGACCATCATCTTCTCCGTTTCATCTCTGACTAATTTCTGAAAAAAAAAAAAAACAATATATATTAGATAAGGCGATAAACGGGCTGACGGGTCATCTGATATTAAGTCGTCGCCGCCCATGGACACCCACAGGTCCATCATCATGTTCCACAAGTGTGATCGACATCACAATAGGGATGATGACAGGGTATCAAAATTAAAAATCTAATTAGTCCGTCAGTTAGGTAATGAAAAATTATTAGACCCGTATATTTGATTTTGTCGTATAATAAAATGTCATTTCTACGTATAAAATGTACATAGAAGTGACGTCACACGACGACAAGCCCGCCATAACCTTCCAAAACGGCTGCAACTCCTGTGGACCAGGATCTATCGTAGATACCACCATATACACACCGGGACACTCGATGACATTCACATGATTGACTGTCTTGGATCACGCAACGATAAGAGGAGAAAACAAAACCGTTAGTTAGTCTAGATGAGAGAGCACTTACCAAGAAGGTTATCCTGGGTGGTACATCGGAGTTGTACTGCACCGCCTTGCTTCGGAAACGTCTAGGGCATCCTTGCACCCCCCTGTCCTCCACGTCCGGCTTCGTCTGAACCCCTTTATCATGAAACCTCACATCTGCCACCTCCGGAACCGTTTCGTCTGGATATATCGGTTCTGTTTTTATGAATATCTCCTCAGCGTTTTCTGTTTTCACCACAATTTCTTCTGTGAACAATAATGGGAATCTTATTGATATATAAATAGGATATTTGCGAGTTCCTGTGTATTCGTTTTTCAATCACGTCAAAACGGCTACGGGGATCATTATGAAATTTGGAACAGGAGTGGGTTACAGTCGGAATAACACATTTTATCCCACGGGACTGCGCCTGAAGCCTGGCACAAGCTAACAAATAAATAATTCTGTGCATTGTGGACTGTGGACTTTTAAGTGTGGGAGAGTAATGCTTCGTCACGAATGGGCCGGCTCAACCGGAGTGATACCACTGCCGAGCAAGAAACCGACGTGAAATAAAGCTTGCGTTGTGTTTTGTCGTGTGAGTGAGGATACTGGAGGCCCAATTACCCCCCTCCCTTGTCCCCGTCTCCCGAATCCCCGAATCCTCCACAATCCTCAAATTCCCAATTTCCAAAAGGCCGGTGTCGCACTTGTAACGTCTTGGTGTTTCGAGTGTCCATGGGCGGCGCCGATTGCTTATCATCAGGTGATCCGTCTGCCCGTTTACCGGCTTATTATAAAAAAAAAACTAAGGAAACTAGCTCAGAGAAGGGGTTAGCCAGTAACCTATAATAAAATTAGTTGTGGGGGCCAAATACAGGATAATAAATGAATATAAACTCGCATTAGAATAAAATACATATTTATTTACTCGTCGTAACTTCCAAAAACAAATTGAAGCTTCCAAAAACCGAAGACAGGTGATATACAAATAGTGGTAAGTGTTTTAGTATAAAGACGCCTGTACACCTTTATCATAGGACACCTGTATATTTTGAGCATCATGTGTATCTGTGATTAATAAACACTCCAAACACAGTTCTGAAAAATGCAATCAATAATATCTAGCTAGTTGATCATTAGAAAGGATTATTTTAGTAACATTAAAAATGTCGAATG